ATCCCCCAGCACCACATGCCAGCCAGCCCCGCCCCCTGGTGGGCTCAGCTGGCCACACACACACAAAATAAATAAAAAATAAAAATATTAAAAAAAAAACAAAATAAAAATCTGTTTCAAAGAACACTATCAGTGAAGTGAAGACAACAAAATATTTACACATCAGCTACAAGGAATTTATAGTAAGAATTTCTGAATAATAGTTATAATTCATTAGCAAAAAGATAACCTGATTTTAAAACGGCAACATTTGGGAGTGCCAAATCCTAACCACTAGACCACCATGGAAGTTAACGGCAACATTTGAATAGAAAGAAGATGCACAAATAACCATTGTACACTCAACATCATTAGCTGTTAGATGTGTATCAAAACTGCCTCGAGATACCATTTTATTCTCACAAGGATGGCTAGAATAAAAAAGTAGATAAGTGTTTGGTGAAGATGCAGAGAAAGTGGAACTCTCCTGTATTTCTAGCAAGATGTAAAATAACAGCTACTTTGAAAAATTGTCTGATAGTTCCTCAAATAACAGTATTATTGCATGACCTGGCGGTCCCATCCCCATGTATATATTCAAAAGAAACCAAAACATGTTCACACACAAATTTGTTTGCAAATACTCATAGCAGCATTATTGGGTTTTTTTTGTCTTTTTGTATTTTTTTTAAATATTAATTTTATTTTATTTATTTTTTTTGTGTGTATGGAACTGGGGATTGAACGCAGGCCCTTGTGCTTGCAAGGCAAGCGCTTATTCTACTGAGCCACCTCCCCAGCCCCTAAGTATTAATTTTATTGAGAAAAAATTGCAATGAGACAGCTTCAAAACAGGTTAGTAGTAGGGCCTGGGGAGATGGCTCAGTAGAATAAGTGCTTCCCTGGCAAGCCCAAGGGCCTGAGTTCAATCCCTGGTTCTGCCAAAAACAAAACAGGTTGGTAGGAGAGTTACAACAATTAATACATTGCATATTGTTGTCTTTGTCATCATTCATAGCACAAGATGCCAGACATGATATCCTGTCCAAACTTTAGTATTAGTACAAATCTCAATGAATTGAGAGAAAGTAGCTGTATATCCTATTTTGTATATACAGATGTAAAATTGTCCTTCATTGATCTCCTTTTTTTATTTAGTTTTGTTAGAGATGGGTATTCCATTGCCATCCAAATATTGTAGGTGCATGAATTTGGCAAAATATTCCAATATAGTCCAGTAGTCCACAATAGTAATGGGTTATCTACAGGACTGGCGATGTCAAAACAACAACAACAAAAACCAGCATTATTGTTAACAGTGAACAGATAGAAACTCAAGTAATCATCTGATAAATGGATGAACGTGTGTTATGTCTATATAATGGGACTATTTTTTGTCCATACAAGGAATGAAGTGATAAAACATGCTAAGATATAAAGGAACTTTCAAAACAGTGGAGTGAAACCAGCTACAAAAAGCTGCAAATTGTGATTCCATTTAAAAAATTTGGGGGGGTGCGGGGAGATGGCTCAGTGGAATAAGTGCTTCCCTGGCAAGCACAAGGGCCTGAGTTCGGGCTGGGATATAGCCTAGTGACACAAATGCCTGTATGGAAGGGCCTGAGTTCAATCTCCGGTTCTGTAAAAAAAATAAATAAAATAAAATAAATTTTTTTGTATCGCTGGCTCAGCTTACCCTAGGGGCAGGGCTGGTGCAGCATGTGGTGCCAGGGATTGAACCAATGTCCCTGCATGCTTGCCTAAGTTTGCCTAAGCAGGCGCTTTAGACTGCTGAGCTATCTCACCGGCCCCTTTGATTCCATTTATATAAGATGCCCAGAAAAGGCAAAACCATAGACTCAGAAGATTGGTTGCCAGGGGTTAAAGGAAAGAATGAGGAGTGACTGCTATCTGGTATAAGATTTCTTTGGGGAAAAATTAAAATATTCTAAAATTAGGTAGTAGTGATAGTTATTTAACTGAATATATAAAAATACATTAAAATCAACCCTTTAAATGAATGAATTTAGGGTATGTGAATATTATACTGAAGTTGTGATTTAAAAAGTTGTATCATCTACCTGTGTGGTTTTCTCCTGATTTAACTGAACTGTTGATATGAGAATTTTTTTTTTTTTTTTCTGTATTTAAGGCAGGGTC